TTATTTTGTAAACATGGATTGGTTCCCAGGATCTCCTGGTTTTTTGCTGTTTGTAATAGGTAATTGGTTGGTGTTTTGTACTCATAGTTCTCGAGTTAAGGCTTGAATAAGTAATTCCAAGTTAGATAGCTTGTGGAGTGCTTATCTAGCCTGACTGACTCATCAATAAGTGACTATTTATTGTTTAGAGAAGTCAGTAATGAAGTATGATTAGGGTGTTCAGTCAATGTGACTCTTCCCCCCTCAAATTAGAGAACAAACATCGGAGCTTGAGGACCAAGGGGTTTCAAGCACACCAATAATAATTTTTAGGAATTTCCTTTTCTACTTAATAAAAAAGTTGTAACTTTACTATCAAATTAAAATTATCTTTCTTATCAATTACCTTCAAATTGGCATTGTTATAACACTATATTTGGTGGAAGGAAATGGAAATGGAAAGCACGTCGAGTCTAATCTTGAAAGTACTTAAAATAAATTGCATTACCCATGATTTTGATGACAATAAATAATAAAATAAAATAAAAAACAACAAAAAATGGAAAAAGATAAGACTTGACTAAACCAAGTTCAGCAACAGTGATGGCATTAGCTGCCTGCTTTGACCCCACGGATAAGCAAAACATAATCGAAATCACAATTGGCATCATTCACCAAATGAATAAAAATATTAGAGATCAAATTTGACTGGCATTGAAGGAAAGATATTAGAGAAATAAGTAATAGACAATTCTACTTCGAACAATGGATGATGTACACTGAGCCTGTGTTTACTTTCTCTGGTGCATAAAACAATTACCAGAAAACACCAACCATGTCTTCAAACTAAATTCTTTCATTAAACAACCGAATTAAATAAAAGAATAAAATACGTAGAGCATCAGTAAATTTCTTATGCTTTTTATCACAAAAGAACATTCTAAGCCTGTTAGCCCATCGGATGAACAGAACAAAAAATAATAAAATTTAATATTAACATTCAAAATAAAAAATAGTAATATTGAATATTAACATAAGTCAATGACATAAACATAATATTATTGAATAGTAACATCAGTCAATAAAATTGAACAATAATATGAAATCGTAACATGAACTTAATAGTGACAAAAAATAATAACACATAATAGTCCGTCTTTGTCTTTATGTAGGATCGATGTGGTGTTGGCACTTTTGTGTCTCTTACACTTTCCTCGGTTACAAGTACTAGTTAGGGTGTTGACTCATAAACAGCCTGATTCAAAAGAGCAATATATGTTACAATTAGCATAACAATCATTCTACATACTGAAGCATGTGAAATTGAAAATAGTCTATTTACAATTGGGATAAAAGTAAAATTACGTGTGTCTAAACTTTTCAAGGCCCTGCAATAGTGGGAGTTTCATATAAATCGTATTGGACTGCCCTTTATAGTTATATTGAACCCTGTGAACTGCACCCCAATGAGCAAGACACGACCCAAACTGCAACTTCATCAGAATATGATACATTGACAATCACTAACATATGGGCATAACAAAGACTGGTGTTTAGGACTGTGACTACCTAGAACACATAAATGTGGAAACTTCTCCACCATTTGGACAGGAGAATTTATGAAAGAAATCGGGTTTTAAATTTCTAGATGTTGCACATTATGTTGCTTTCGAACTGGAATACACAGTTACCACAACCATCTCAAATAAAGAGTTCAATACCACAGAAGGCACACTATCTCAAAATCAAGAAGCATGATGCCTGTGATCATTACATTTGTGCCTCAATGATCATGAGCAGAAATCAGGAGTTCAGATATGAAACTAAGACTACTTCGACATGAACTGTTTGTTAATGAGCAAGCTGATCTAGATAACTCCGACTTTGCAATGATGGCTCCCCCCGTATTGCTAAGACCAACTTCTAAAAATTCAATGGATGCCCAGGAGAAAAGACAAGTGCATATTGATGCAGAAGGGAAAACAGAAAAATAAACAAGAAAAAATCCAAACTGGGGCTGCAATTTGAAATTTTGGTGGCTGCATAACACCTACTTTCTAATTCAATTCTTAGTTAGTCCTCTAATGCATACAACAACTTCATCGCAGTCGAATCTAGTGTCCACAGATTTTGCTGTTGGAAGGATCACAGAAAATAAAAGATTCCAAATTTTATCATTTGCATATATTACTTCCTTGCCTTTAACAAGTGGGCCTTTGTTTCTGTAGTTTTATACATGTTGTAAAATTCGAAAAAAAAAATATTATTATTATTATTAAAAATCTTAATTAAAGAAAAAAAATAATAATTAATTATTAAATTACGGGTCAAAAACATAAATTTCTAAAAAAATAAAGTTATACTATATATATATATATATATATATAAGTGGAAGACAAAAGTCTTCCACTTTTCTTCTTCCAGTGTACTGCCGAGAGAGTGAGAGAGAGAAAGGTGAGGCTTTTTTTTTTATTTTTCTCCTTCCTTCTTTTTTAGATCTACGAAAATTAGACCGTTTAATCGTTTTAGGCCAAGAATTAAAGTTGCTCTACTCAGCGAAAGCTACGCAACCATACCAAATATCGTATTTTTTTCCAAACAAATATCAAAAACGATAATCTAGGCCTAAAATTTGGGAAGTTAAATTGGACTTCCTAAGAGTTCTAGTACGTGGGCTCACGCTACGAGAGGTAGGGTTTCCCCTATTTAGATTTAATTTTAACCTAAAATATGGTATATGAAATGGATAGGCCAAAGGTGTACATCACATATTAGGTCTTGACTAGTGTAATTAGTGAGTCAAATATATGATTTATAATTAACTTTGTGATTAGTAAAATCTTATTATGATTAACTTGGTGTAAGTTAATGTTAATGGTTTAAAGCATGTTAATTGTACATTAGTATTATTTTATGTTTTAAATGACATATTAAGTTTAATAAAATTATTAGTTTGTTATGTGATTATGGAATAATATGTATGTTAAATGATTATTTAGCATATGATTATTGTGGTGGACTTGTGTTTATGTTTATAGAATTGATAAACATGTTATCATATTGAAAATGTCATTATATAATATTCTTTATGTAATGGACATTGTAAATGGTACAAAAGACAATTGCACATTGAATTGCATTATGCATGAGTTGCATTATATTCATGGGCATTGATATGGGTGAGAGTATGTGCATGGTATGAAATCAATCACCACATAGGTGGTTGATTGTAGGCTCGAAAAAGTTGCACCAAGGTCCGGTTGAGTCACACGGAAAAGTAAATGGATAAACATGTCGGGATAGCAAGTAGGGTTAGATTCTCCATCGGGTGCAAGACCCGCTTACTTGGTTTATACATTTTTTGGCGGTGAAATTCCAGAAAAGTGTAACGGTCAAAACAGAGCCGCAGGTGGGATGTCTTGAGAATCCGTTGGTGGTTGGTGCCCCATTGGTGTAATACCATAAATCATCTCCCCACAAAGACACGAGAAAATGATTTAATTAGTCATTGAATGTACATAACACCAATGACAGGGAGTTTGGAATGTCCGGATACATACGCATGACATTGCATGTGTTGTGGGAGCTCAGGATAGGGCTCGGTATGGGTATTGCTTGCATGAGTCTTATCTCATGACATGATATGATTTATGGCATTTGTTCATAATAGATATATTTGAATGAATGCATAAAATGATTGTTTCATGTGACATTTCACATACATTTAGATTGAGAGGTATTCTCTATAGGAGTTACCCTATTGAGCGTTGACTCACCATTTATGGAAATATTTTTTAGGTATTGCACAGGCGTCCACCGAAGGCGAGACCATGGGCCCTCTTTGACGACAAAGCTGGTCTGTGGCTCTTCTTTTGACATCGTAGTCCCTTGTTGTTATTTACTTTTGGCCTTGTGTAATTTTTGTAACAAAAAAACGTGTTTATAATTAAAAAGCATGTATAAGGGACTCTTTTGAGACATTTATTCTTTTATGAATGAATGTACGTAATGATGATGATTATGTAGTATTCGATACTATATAATTGTGAATAGATAGATAAGTCCGGTGTGGTCAATGTTGTACAGGTTGCATTTTAGGTAGATTTCCTCGTACAAAGGAGACTCTGCTCCAATTTTGTTAAGTTATAGACCCCGATAAATGGAGCATAACAGCGTGTTATCGAATTATCATGGATATTCCGCAGGTTGATGGATGATCAACCGAATAATTACTGACACTCGGATTTCGGGGTGTCACAGTTGTCTTCTTTAGTTTTATTATTTTTATAAAATTGATATTAATATTTACTAACAGCTCAAATTTCTCAGAAAATTCTACCTAGCCTTAGCTGCAATAAATGTCAATTCTGACAAAACAAGCGACAAATCCACATTGATCAATCCGTCACTCAAACTTCAAGGTTGAGCTTATAAAAAGGAGTGAGCATTGTTGTTGATCTTCCAAGGCTTAACAATGGAGGATTTTGCATTCCTTTGCTTTTTTCTGCTTTGGCTTGTTGCCTCTGTTCAGTGCCAAGATGGGAGAGGATTCAGCTCAATAGGTCAAGTCATAACGGAGGAATTGTCAAAGGAGAGGCTATCTGATACCTTTTCAAGCTAACTCCACAGCCGTTGAAGGCAAAAAGACAAGTGCATATTGATGTAGAAGGGAAAACAAAAACAAAACAAGAAAACATCCAAAATGGAGCTAAAATTTCAAAGTTTGATGGTTGCATAACACCTACTTTCTAATTCAATTCTTAGTTGGTCCACTAATACAACCAACTACATCATCGCAGTCTAATTTAGTGTCCACAGGTTTTTTTCTTGGAAGGATAATAGAAAATAAAAGATTCCAAATTTTATCATTTATATATATATATATTGATTCCTCGCATTATATATGGCGCCATTCTGACAAAACAAACAACAAAGTCAGATTTATCAATCTGTCGGTCAAACTTGAAGGTTGAGCTTATAAAAAGGAGTGAACATTGTTGTTGATCTTCCAAGACTTAACAATGGAGAATTTTAAATTCCTTTGCTTTTTTCTCCTTTGCCTTGTGGCCTCCGTTCACTGCTATGTTGGCAAAAGATTCACCTCAATAGGTCAAGTCATAACGGAGGAATTGTCAAAGGAGAGGCTATCTGATACCGTTCCAGCAGTGAGCGGTGGATTCGGTACATTTTCAGGCTCTTTACCAGTGTATATTGGTCCTCAAGATGGACTAAAGGAAAGTAATAAGATTCAAAGCTTGCCTGGACAACCCAATGGAATAAACTTTGATCAGTATTCTGGATACGTTACTGTAGATCCCAATGCAGGACGAGCATTGTTTTATTATTTTGTCGAGTCTCCAGAGAACTCTTCTACTAAGCCACTTGTGCTGTGGCTTAACGGAGGTAATGCTTTTTACACAATTTTTTTGGCTTATGACTCGACAGTTAAATATTTACAATGATGTAGTATATGGCCCTAACAGAGTCCGGCTTTTCCAATATCATGGGACATTTTTTTAACATCAATGGCTCCCAAATTGAGAGAAAATATTCATTATCGTTGTTTATTATTAGCATTTTTATTCATTTAAACAGAGGCTTTCACATTATTGTAGTCATTATCACTCAATGCAGAGGCCTAGCCACTCTGCACCGATGCAAGAAGGAGCAATCTTGATCTTTTAATTTTGTGATTATATTTTCACAATCAACAACTGCTAATGTTATGACTTGTGCAGGGCCTGGTTGTTCTTCCCTTGGTTATGGAGCAATGATGGAACTCGGACCATTTAGAGTCGATAAAGGTGGTTACACTTTATATCGAAATGAATATGCATGGAATAATGGTGAGCACTTACTGAATTCTTCTTGATCTGATGAAAATGACCCTGAACTTGTTAAAACAAAGTTACTATTTCAACTTGTCTCAGAGGCTAATGTCATCTTCCTTGAGTCTCCGGCTGGAGTTGGATTTTCATACTCAAACACAACATCGGACTATAATCTAAGTGGAGACAATCGTACTGCTTCCGATTCCTATACCTTTCTAGTTAACTGGCTGGAGAGATTTCCTGAATACAAAACTAGGGACTTCTTTATCACCGGAGAGAGCTATGCAGGCCATTATGTACCCCAGCTTGCTCAACTAATACTTCATAACAACAAGTATGCCAACCAAACTGTTATCAATCTAAAAGGGATTGCCGTAAGTTTCTATGCTTCAAACATATTGATTGGCATGTTCATATATTGTTATGCTTGGTTTGGATATTATTCAAACGCTAACATAAGAGTTTTATGATTTTTTAGATTGGCAATGCATATATCGACAGCCTAACAACAGTTATTGGCAGCGTGGATTATTACTGGACACATGCTCTTACTTCAGACGAAATACACAAAGGAATTGTATTGACCTGCAATTTTTCTTTGCCACTTAATATATCGCAAAGTTGTGAGGACTACTTTAATCAGCTGTATGAGTCAATGGGTAATATCTACCAATATGACATATACGCCCCCTTATGCAATTCTTCTGCAGCCTCAACCTCTGTGAGTAAAATTTCTTAGATTTTGTAAATGAATATTTAGTCTAATTAGTTTACTGATTCTTTTAGTAAATTTCTTATCTTAATCTCCTCTAATTTTATACTTACACACAGATCTCTGCGTTTGATCCATGCTCAGAAGATTATATATTTTCTTATTTAAACATTCCTGAAGTTCAAAAAGCTCTTCATGCAAATGTTACTTCTCTTCCTTATCCATGGGAAACCTGCAGGTACTATATTCCAACCTAATCTTAACATTTTTTGTTTCATATTACTGGACTTTCTTGACTATTCGCTACATGATCCCATGCTATTTATTTTCTATTACTACTGACTTTTGGCTGATGTTTGGGAACAGTAACCAGATACACAGGTGGAATGATTCACCCTTAACTGTGTTACCTATTATTCGTGAGTTGATGGACAGTGGAATTCTTGTGTGGATTTACAGGTAAGTCAAATAAAACAAACTGATCATCTAAGAATTTAAACAACTGAAAGTGCCAAGTCCCATTGAAACTGTTTATCGTGCTTATCTATGTGAATTTGAATTTGTAGTGGCGACACAGACGGTTCCATACCAGTCACATCTACTAGGTATTCCATAAACAAATTGGGACTTTCAGTTAAGACTGCTTGGTATCCTTGGTACACTAAAGGAGAGGTAATACATAACTTATTGTTGTATTCACTTTTTTACCATGCTATCCCCTCCAAGCACCCCTATCGCGCGCAGGGGGGGGGGGGGGGGGGG